AATGTGGGGGGGGGGGTGACTCACCTGGTGGTTAAATAAAGGACGTGAAATTCACTAGAAACGGTGACTCTCAATGTGGGGGGTTCTCACCTGGAGGTTAAATAAAGGACGTGACATTCACTAGAAACGGTGAATCTCAATGTGGGGGTGGTTCTCAACATGGTGGTTAAATAAAGGACGTGACATTCACTAGAAACGTGTGAATCTCAATGTGGGGGGGGGGTGGGGGGGTTCTCACCTGGTGGTTAAATAAAGGATCTTTGGACATTCACTAGAAACGGTGAATCTCAATGTGGTGGGTTCTCACCTGGTGGTTAAATAAAGGACCGTGACCATTCACTAGAAACGGTGGAATCTCAATGTGGGGGGTTCTCACCCGGTGGTTAAATAAAGGACGTGACATTCACTAGAAACGGTGAATCTCAATGTGGGGGGTTCTCACCTCGTGGTTAAATAAAGGACGTGACATTCACTAGAAACGGTTGAATCTCAATGTGGTGGGGGGTTCTCACCATGGTGGTTAAATAAAGGACGTGACATTCACTAGAAACGGTGAATCTCAATTGTGGGGGGGGCGGTTCTCACCTGGTGGTTAAATAAAGGACGTGACATTAACTAGAAAACGGTGAATCTTCAATGTGGGGGGGTTCTCACCTGAGTGGTTAAATAAAGGACGTTGACATTCACTAAGAACGGTGAATCTCAATGGGGGGGGGGGGGTTCTCAGCTGGTGGTTAAATAAAGGACGTGACATTCACTAGAAACGGTGAATCCTTCAATGTGGGGGGGTTCTCACCTAGTGGTTAAATAAAGGACGTGGACATTCACTAGAAACGGTGAATCTCAATGTGGGGGGGTTCTCACCTGGTGGTTAAATAAAGGGACGTGACATTCACTAGAAACGGTGAATCTCAATGTGGGGGGTTCTCACCTGGTGGTTAAAATAAAGGACGTGACATTCACTAGAAACGGTGAATCTCAATGTGGGGGAGGGTTCTCACCTGGTGGTTAAATACAGGACGTGACATTCACTAGAAACGGTGAATCTCAATGTGGGGGGGTTCTCACCTGGTGGTTAAATAAAGGACGTGACATTCACTAGAAAACGGTGAATCTCAATGTGTGGGGGGGGGGGGGGGTTTCTCACCTGGGTGTTAAATAAGGACGGTGACATTCACTAGAAACGGTGAATCTCAATGTGGGGGGGTTCTCACCCGGTGGTTAAATAAAGGGACGTGACATTCAACTAGAAACGGTGAATCTCAATGGGGGGGGGGGGGGGGGGGGTTTCTCACCTGGTGGTTAAATAAAGGACTTGACATTCACTAGAAACGGTGAATCTCAATGTGGGGGGGGGGGGGGGGGGGTTTTTTCTCACCCTGGTGGTTAAAGTAAAGGACGTGACATTCACTAGAACGGTGAATCTCAATGTGGGGGGGTTCTCACCCGGTGGTTAAATAAGGACGTGACATTCACTAGAAACGGTGAATCTCAATGGGGGGGGGGGGGGGGTTCTCACCTGGTGGTTAAATAAGGACGTGACATTCACTAGAAACGGTGAATCTCAATGGGGGGGGGGGGGGTTCTCACCTGGTGGTTAAATAAAGGACGTGACATTCACTAGAAACGGTGAATCTCAATGGGGAGGGGGGGGGGGGGGGTTCTCACCTGGTGGTTAAATAAAGGACGTGACATTCACTAGAAACGGTGAATCTCAATGTGGGGGGTTCTCACCTGGTGGTTAAATAAAGGACGTGACATTCACTAGAAACGGTGAATCTCAATGGGGGGGGGGGGGGGGGGGGTTCTCACCTGGTGGTTAAAAAAAGGACGTGACATTCACTAGAAACGGTGAATCTCAATGGGGGGGGGGGTTCTCACCTGGTGGTTAAATAAAGGACGTGACATTCACTAGAAACGGTGAATCTCAATGGGGGGTGGGGGGGGGGGGGGGGGTTCTCACCTGGTGGTTAAATACAGGACGTGACATTCACTAGAAACGGTGAATCTCAATGTGGGCGGTTCTCACCTGGTGGTTAAATAAAGGACGTGACATTCACTAGAAACGGTGAATCTCAATGTGGGGGGTTCTCACCTGGTGGTTAAATAAAGGACGTGACATTCACTAGAAACGGTGAATCTCAATGTGGGGGGTTCTCACCCAGTGGTTAAATAAAGGACGTGACATTCACTAGAAACGGTGAATCTCAATGTGGGGGGGTTCTCACCTGGTGGTTAAATAAAGGACGTGACATTCACTAGAAACGGTGAATCTCAATGTGGGGGGTTCTCACCTCGTGGTTAAATAAAGGACGTGACATTCACTAGAAACGGTGAATCTCAATGTGGTGGGGGGTTCTCACCTGGTGGTTAAATAAAGGACGTGACATTCACTAGAAACGGTGAATCTCAATGTTGGGGGGGGGGGGCGGTTCTCACCTGGTGGTTAAATAAAGGACGTGACATTAACTAGAAACGGTGAATCTCAATGTGGGGGGGTTCTCACCTGGTGGTTAAATAAAGGACGTGACATTCACTAGAAACGGTGAATCTCAATGGGGGGGGGGGGGTTCTCAGCTGGTGGTTAAATAAAGGACGTGACATTCACTAGAAACGGTGAATCTCAATGTGGGGGGGTTCTCACCTAGTGGTTAAATAAAGGACGTGACATTCACTAGAAACGGTGAATCTCAATGTGGGGGGTTCTCACCTGGTGGTTAAATAAAGGACGTGACATTCACTAGAAACGGTGAATCTCAATGTGGGGGGGTTCTCACCTGGTGGTTAAATAAAGGACGTGACATTCACTAGAAACGGTGAATCTCAATGTGGGGGAGGGGTTCTCACCTGGTGGTTAAATACAGGACGTGACATTCACTAGAAACGGTGAATCTCAATGTGGGGGGTTCTCACCTGGTGGTTAAATAAAGGACGTGACATTCACTAGAAACGGTGAATCTCAATGTGGGGGGGTTCTCACCCGGTGGTTAAATAAAGGACGTGACATTCACTAGAAACGGTGAATCTCAATGGGGGGGGGGGGGGGGGGTTTCTCACCTGGTGGTTAAATAAAGGACGTGACATTCACTAGAAACGGTGAATCTCAATGTGAGGGGGTTCTCACCTGGTGGTTAAATAAAGGACGTGACATTCACTAGAAACGGTGAATCTCAATGTGGGGGGGTTCTCACCTGGTGGTTAAATAAAGGACGTGACATTCACGAGAAACGGTGAATCTCAATGACGCGAGAGAGAGAGACGCAGACTCCAAATATACAGCAGCAGCAGTAGCAGCCAGGCATCGTTCAGTTCAGTTTCAGTTTATTTTGGGTATAGCCCTGCGAGACATTCGGCTCTTGAATCGGGGTGCAACTACAACAAACACAAAAACATGAACAAGAAAAACATCTTAAAGTGACTTTGTGTGTGTGACCGTGCAAACAGAAAATCCATGGAAAAAAAAACCAGCAAAAATATTCCTGAAAAAAATGCACCGTGTACACCACCAGCGCTGTGTGCAAAAAATCCCAGTGGGATGCAAAGTCAAACAACAACAACAACAACCACAAGAAAACTTAGATTAAGGCCGTCAGTCTAACTCCGTACTACAACAAAACAAACATGTCCAAACCAAAAAACGTTCTCCAAATCACCAAAAAATAAAGTCCATAATTGCAACGTAACAGTGATCACAGGGACTGTGACCGGATTTTAACAATAAACTACATATTATGAGACCTCCTTTGCCAGAAACAAGATATAGGAATAGGTTTTTACCCTTTTAACTGGCACAAAAACTGACACCTTTATTCAAGGCATCATGTTTGCAATAACCACAACACAAGCAGTCAAATGCAAACAAAAGAGACAACTCTGATAATAATATTAGCACTGTCCTTGAATTTGATTGGTCCACACCCGAGACGGCTTTTCTTAGAGCCAAGTCTCCACTGGTGTTGGACCAGAAGACGACAAAAGGCGCCAAAAGGCGTCTTCTGGTCCAACACCAGTGGAGACTAGGCTCTAAGAAAAGCTGTCTCGGGTGTGGACCAATCAAATTCAAGGACAGTGGATATTATTATCAGAGTTGTCTCTTTTGTTTGCATTTTGACTGCTTGTGTTGTGGTTATTGCAAACATGATGCCTTGAATAAAGGTGTCAGTTTTTGTGCCAGTTAAAAGGGTAAAACCTATTCCAATAAACTACATAAATAACATTTAACACCAAATCCTAGAGCCATAGCTGGCTGTATGAGTTACTCCACAACAACAGCAGCATCAGTCGGAGTATCACATTTTTTTGTCAGGGTCCGGTTCGAACCCACAACCTCCTGCATACCAGGCGAGGTAGTCAACATCTCCTAGTCCACCATCCGGACCACGAATCCAGAGAACTGGACGTGTGCGTGTGGGTCTGTCCCCTGACTACTATCCTGTCAGCAGCGAGCATTCGACACTTCACGTGGTGGCCTACAAAGTGCACCCAGCCTGGCACAGGCGGTGCGGTTACAGGCCACTACAGCCAACATCATACTCGGATTCCCATTCATGTTAATGGGGGACTCGGATCACTGAATTTCAGTGGGTATCCGGTTCCCCTATTCATCCCAATGGAGGATCCGCTACCTCTATTCATCTGAATTGAGGATCCGGTTCGCTATTCATGTCAATGAAGATCCGGTTCCCTATTCATTTCAATTGGGATCCGGTTCCCTATTCATTTCAATTGGGAGCCTATTCCCATATTTGTCTCAACGGATGATCCGGTTCCCCCTATTCATCTCAATAGAGGATCCGATTCTCCCTATTCATCTCAATGGAGGATCCGCTACTTCTATTCATCTGAACGGAGGATCCGGTACCCATATTCATCTGAATTGAGGATCCGGTTCCCCTATTCATCTCAATGGGAATCCGGTTCGCTATTAATGTCAATGAAGATCCGGTTCCCTATTCATTTCAATTGGGATCCGATTCCCCTATTTATCTCAACGGGGGATCCGGTTCCCTCTATTCGTCACAACGGATGATCCGGTTCCTGCTCTTAAAAGTTACCCCGGGGCAAGATGGCGGACCGGCTAACTCAGCTGCAGGACGCCGTGAACTCCGTGAGCGTCTCTCCCCGTCTCTCTCCGTCTCTCTCCGCCCGTCTCTTTCCGCGGATTTTAACTCTCGGCGCGAGGCGGGCGGGCGGTTTCCGCCGGGGAACTGGCGTCGCGCCGGTTGAGATTACATCCCAACAGTACAAAGAATAAGCGGCCTAAGTCACTCGCCTAGAAACCATAGCCGGAAGCCTGCGTTAGGCCCTCGGCGACTCGCAGTGGGGAGGGGGGTCGCGCCGGTTGAGATTACATCCCAACAGTAAAAGCATAGGCGGCCTAAGCCTCTCGCCTAGAAACCATAGCCGGAAGCCTGCGTTAGGCCCTCGGCGACTCGTGGTGGGGCGGGGGGGGTCGCGCCGGTTGAGATTACATCCCAACAGTAAAAACATCGGCGGCCTAAGCCTCTCGCCTAGAAACCATAGCCGGAAGCCTGCGTTAGGCCCTCGGCGACTCTCGGGTGGAGGGGGGGGTCGGTCTTACCCCCTTGGGTTCATGCTGGCCACATGTCAACCCGGCCACCCGAGTTCGACTCCCGCTCACGGCGAGTGGGCGATGTGTCCTCCTCTTGGGTCGACTCGGCCTTAAGTCGAGTCCCTTGGTACGATGGGGCAGTCGTGGACTGGAGTGGAGTTTGTATTGATCGCCCTGTTCTGTAGTGAGTGAGTGGTGGCTAGGAGATGTTGACTACCTCGCCCGGTGTGCAGGAGGTCGTGGGTTCGATCCCGAGCCTGACGATGCCTGCTGCTGTGTATTTGGAGTCTGCGTCTCTCTCTCATCATCATCACGGTGGCTAGGAGATTCCTGCTGCTGCTGTATATTTGGAGTCTGCGTCTCTCATCATCATCATCATCACGGTGGCTATGAGATTCCTGCTGCTGCTGCTGTGTATTTGGAGTCTGTGTCTCTCTCTCTCATCATCATCACGGTGGCTAGGAGATTCCTGCTGCTGCTGCTGCTGTGTATTTGGAGTCTGCGTCTCTCTCTCATCATCATCACGGTGGCTAGGAGATTCCTGCTGCTGCTGTATATTTGGAGTCTGCGTCTCTCTCTCTCTCATCATCATCACGGTGGCTATGAGATTCCTACTGCTGCTGCTGTAGATTTGGAGTCTGCGTCTCTCTCTCTCATCATCATCATCACGGTGGCCAGGAGATTCCTGCTGCTGCTGTAGATTTGGAGTCTGCGTCTCTCTCATCATCACGGTGGCTAGGAGATTCCTACTGCTGCTGCTGTAGATTTGGAGTCTGCGTCTCTCTATCTCATCATCATCACGGTGGCTATGAGATTCCTGCTGCTGTATATTTGGAGTCTGCGTCTCTCTCATCATCATCACGGTGGCTATGAGATTCCTGCTGCTGTATATTTGGAGTCTGCGTCTCTCATCATCATCACGGTGGCTAGGAGATTCCTGCTGCTGTTGCTGTATATGTTAGTAATCCGTTAATTAGTATGTGTTTCCCCTATAAGGAGTTGTAATGTGCATTCATATTCTTAGCTCCCTCGGCAAAGCCACGCCGAAGGGAAACAACCAAACAACAAACATAGATATTTTATTATTTTATTGCTTCTCTCCCAAACGTGACTCCACCGAAAGAGCCAAGAACGTGAATCACTGCAGTCACGAAAGCTTTAAATCAAAATGTAATGTGTATTATTTAATAATACGCTTCCAGGCCGCACTAAGCCTGTAGCTGTCAGAGCGATTAAAGTTACTCTTGTTCCTCTCAATTTCAATGGATTCTCTAATTAGTCTTTGCCAGTAGTAATTAGTTTTACACAACACTGCAACATTGTCAAAATCAATTGAGTGTCCTTGTTGACAAGCATGTTCTGCCACTGCCGACGAGTTGTGTTTGAGATAATTTCATATATTCTCTGATGTTCTTTTAGTCTTACGCTGATGTTATGTCCCGTCTGTCCAATGTAGCGTCTGCCACATAAACAATTAATCCGATATACACCTTCGGTTGATAATTTAGGTAATGCGTCTTTAGTGCAAGATACTAGTTTTTTGAATTTTGTGTACTGTACCAAATCTTACTGTAATGTTTTGCTTGGACATGGCCTAAACGGTAAAATAATTACACAGCGTTTACAGAAAGCAAACGCACACTGATGCCTATCAGAATGCAGAATCACATCATCATCCAGCTCAGAAATCCTCTCTTTATCAAGACGCTCATACATCGGGCTAAAACAGTGTCAGACGGTGAGAGTCTAGTGAGAGAGATTAAACACGTTAAAGACGCACTACGACAGAATGGCTACAATAATGCTCAAATTAACAGAGCACTGAATGCCAAATCACGATCGCAAAGCAATACTGCTGAAAGCGACCAGATTGTTAAAACAATAAAAAAAATCCATATATCTCAGGAGTAACTGACAAATTAGCCCGCGTTTTGCAAAAGCAAAACATTACAGTAAGATTTGGTACAGTACACGTACACTTACACACGTACACGTACACACGTACTCGTACACACGTACACTTACACACGTACACACGTACACTTACACACGTACACACGTACACACACACACACGTACACACACGTACACACACACGTACACTTACACACACACACGTACACACACACGTACACACACACACGTACACTTACACACGTACACTTACACACGTGCACGCACACGTACACGCACACGTACACTTACACACACGTACACTTACACACACGTACACTTACACACGTACTCATACACACGTACACACGTACACGTACACACGTACACTTACACACACGTACACGCACACACGTACACTTACACACACACACACACTTACACACGTACACTTACACACACTTACACTTACACACACACACGTACACTTACACAGTACACTTACACACGTACACACACACGTACACACACACGTACACACACACACGTACACTTACACACGTTCTAACACACACACACGTACACACACACATCCACACACACGTACACACACACACGTACACTTACACACACACGTACACTTACACACACGCACACACACACACGTATACTTACACACATACACACACGTACACTTACACACACACGTACACTTACACACACGCACACACACGTATACTTACACACATACACACACGTACACACACACACGTACACACACACACACTTACACACACACACGTACACACACACACGTACACACACGTACACTTACACACGTACACACACACACGTACACACACACATACACACACACACGTACACACACACGTACACTTACACACACACACACGTACACTTACACACATACACACACACACGTGCACACGTACACACACACACGTTCTAACACACACGTACACACACACACGTACACACACACGTATACGTACACACACACACGTACACTTACACACGTACACACACACGTACACGCACACACGTACACACACACACGTTCTAACACACACGTACACACGCACACACACACGTACACGTACACACACACACGTACACTTACACACACACACACACACGTACACTTACACACTTACACACACACACGTACACACACACACACGTACACTTACACACATACACACACGTACACGCACACACGCACACACACGTACACTTACACACATACACACACTTACACACACGTACACTTACACACACACATGTACACTTACACACGTACACACACACGTACACGCACACACGTACACACACACACACGTACACACACACACGTACACTTACACACTTACACACACACACGTACACTTACACACACACACGTACACTTACACACACACACGTACACTTACACATACACACACACGTACACACACACACGTACACTTAAACACATACACACACACACGTACACGCACACACGCACACACACGTACACTTACACACACACACACACACGTACACACACACACGTACACTTACACACGTACACACACGTACACTTACACACACACGTACACACACACACACTTACACACACACACACGTACACTTACACACACACACGTACACACACACACTTACACACACAATTACACACACACACGTACACACACACACACGTACACACACACGTACACACACACACATACACACACACACGTACACACACACACGTTCTAACACACACACACGTACACACACACACGTACACACACACACGTTCTAACACACACACACGTACACTTACACACATACACACGTACACTTACACACACACACACGTACACTTACACACGTTCTAACACACACACACGTTCTAACATACACACACACACACACGTACACACACACACATACACACACGTACACACACACACGTTCTAACACACACACGTACACACACACACACATACACTTACACACACACACACGCTCTAACACACACGTACACACACACACGTACACACACACGTACACGTACACACACACACACACTACACACACACACACTTACACACACACGTACACACACACATACACACACACACGTACACACACACATACACACGTACACTTACACACACACACTTACACACACACGTACACACACACAAACACTTACACACACACACGTACACACACACACGTACACACACACACACACGTACACACACACACACACGTACACACACACACACGTACACACACACACATACACTTACACACACACACACGTTCTAACACACACGTACACACACACACGTACACACACACACGTACACACACACGTACACGTACACACACACACACGTACACACACACATACACACACACACGTACACACACACATACACACGTACACACACACACACGTACACACACACACATACACACACACATACACACACACGTTCTAACACACGCCTCTGTGTGCCCCCCACCCCCCCCCCCCCACATCTCCGTGTCAGATGGCCGACCACTTCTGCAACGCCGTGGGGGTGCTGCAGCAGTGCGCGCCCCCCACATTCTTCCCCAACACGCAGAGCACGGCCCACAAGGAGGTGCCACTCGCCTCCTCCTCCACCTCGTCGCAGGAAGGTAGAGCACGTGGGGGGCTGGTGGGGGACGTGGGGGGCTAGGGGGAGGTGGGGGGCTAGGGGGAGGTGGCAGGGGGAGGTGGGGGGGCTAGGGGGAGGTGGGGGGCTAGAGGGAGGTGGGGGGCTGGGGGGAGGTGGGGGGCTGGGGGGAGGTGGCAGGGGGAGGTGGGGGGCTAGGGGGAGGTGGGGGGCTAGGGGGAGGTGGGGGGCTAGGGGGAGGTGGGGGGCTAGGGGGCTCGCGTCTTGTTGGGTCGTGGTGGTGGTGACGGTGATGACGGTGATGGTGGTGGTGGTGACAGTGGTGGTGACGGTGGTGACGGTGGTGGTGGTGGTGACAGTGGTGGTGACGGTGGTGACGGTGGTGACGGTGGTGACGGTGGTGGTGGTGGTGGTGACGGTGGTGGTGACGGTGGTGACAGTGGTGACGGTGGTGACGGTGGTGACGGTGGTGGTGGTGACGGTGGCGCTGGTGGTGACGAACGCACCACAGCCGCTACCAGGGCTTGCCCACGTGGCTGGTTTGGGGGGCGAGGTTCTTCACATGCTACCAGGGCTTGCCCACGTGGCTGGTTTGGGGGGCGAGGTTCTTCACATGCTACCAGGGCTTGCCCACGTGGCTGGTTTGGGGGGCGAGGTTCTTCACATGCTACCAGGGCTTGCCCACGTGGCTGGTTTGGGGGCGAGGTTCTTCACATGCTACCAGGGCTTGCCCACGTGGCTGGTTTGGGGGGCGAGGTTCTTCACATGCTACCAGGGCTTGCCCACGTGGCTGGTTTGGGGGGCGAGGTTCTTCACATGCTACCAGGGCTTGCCCACGTGGCTGGTTTGGGGGGCGAGGTTCTTCACATGCTACCAGGGCTTGCCCACGTGGCTGGTTGGGGGGGCGAGGTTCTTCACATGCTACCAGGGCTTGCCCACGTGGCTGGTTTGGGGGCGAGGTTCTTCACATGCTACCAGGGCTTGCCCACGTGGCTGGTTTGGGGGGCGAGGTTCTTCACATGCTACCAGGGCTTGCCCACGTGGCTGGTTTGGGGGGCGAGGTTCTTCACATGCTACCAGGGCTTGCCCACGTGGCTGGTTTGGGGGGCGAGGTTCTTCACATGCTACCAGGGCTTGCCCACGTGGCTGGGTTGGGGGGCGAGGTTCTTCACATGCTACCAGGGCTTGCCCACGTGGCTGGTTTTGGGGGGCGAGGTTCTTCACATGCTACCAGGGCTTGCCCACGTGGCTGGTTTGGGGGCGAGGTTCTTCACATGCTACCAGGGCTTGCCCACGTGGCTGGTTTGGGGGGCGAGGTTCTTCACATGCTACCAGGGCTTGCCCACGTGGCTGGTTTGGGTGGGCGAGGTTCTTCACATGCTACCAGGCTTGCCCACGTGGCTGGTTTGGGGGGCGAGGTTCTTCACATGCTACCAGGGGCTTGCCCACGTGGCTTGGTTTGGGGGAGGGGGCGAGGTTCTTCACATGCTACCAGGGGCTTGCCCACGTGGCTGGTTTGGGGGGCGAGGTTCTTCACATGCTACCAGGGCTTTGCCCACGTGGCTGGTTTGGGGGCGAGGTTCTTCACATGCTACCAGGGCTTGCCCACGTGGCTGGTTTGGGGGGCGAGGTTCTTCACATGCTACAGGGCTTGCCCCCGTGGCTGGTTTGGGGGCGAGGTTTCTTCACATGCTACCAGGGCTTGCCCACGTGGCTGGTTTGGGGGGCGAGGTTCTTCACATGCTACCAGGGCTTGCCCACGTGGCTGGTTGGTGGGCGAGGTTCTTCACATGCTACCAGGGCTTGCCCACGTGGCTGGTTTGGGGGGCGAGTTTCTTCACATGCTACCAGGGCTTGCCCACGTGGCTGGTTTGGGGGGCGAGGTTCTTCACATGCTACCAGGGCTTGCCCACGTGGCTGGTTTGGGGGGCGAGGTTCTTCACATGCTACCAGGGCTTGCCCACGTGGCTGTTTGGGGGGCGAGGTTCTTCACATGCTACCAGGGCTTGCCCACGTGGCTGGTTTGGGGGGCGAGGTTCTTCACATGCTACCAGGGCTTGCCCCACGTGGCTGGTTTGGGGGCGAGGTTCTTCACATGCTACCAGGGCTTGCCCACGTGGCTGGTTTGGGGGGCGAGGTTCTTCACATGCTACCAGGGCTTGCCCACGTGGCTGGTTTGGGGGGCGAGGTTCTTCACATGCTACCAGGGCTTGCCCACGTGGCTGGTTTGGGGGGCGAGGTTCTTCACATGCTACCAGGGCTTGCCCACGTGGCTGGTTTGGGGGCGAGGTTCTTCACATGCTACCAGGGCTTGCCCACGTGGCTGGTTTGGGGGGCGAGGTTCTTCACATGCTACCAGGGCTTGCCCACGTGGCTGGTTTGGGGGGCGAGGTTCTTCACATGCTACCAGGGCTTGCCCCACGTGGCTGGTTTGGGGGGCGAGGTTCTTCACATGCTACCAGGGCTTGCCCACGTGGCTGGTTTGGGGGGCGAGGTTCTTCACATGCTACCAGGGCTTGCCCACGTGGCTGGTTTGGGGGAGAGGTTCTTCACATGCTACCAGGGCTTGCCCACGTGGCTGGTTTGGGGGGCGAGGTTCTTCACGTGCTACCAGGGCTTGCCGAAGTGGCTGGTTTGGGGGCGAGGTTCTTCACATGCTACCAGGGCTATCCCACGTGGCTGGTTTGGGGGCGAGGTTCTTCACATGCTACCAGGGCTTGCCCACGTGGCTGGGTGGGGGGGGCGAGGTTCTTCACATGCTACCAGGGCTTGCCCACGTGGCTGGTTTGGGGGGCGAGGTTCTTCACATGCTACCAGGGCTTGCCCACGTGGCTGGTGGTGGGCGAGGTTCTTCACATGCTACCAGGGCTTGCCCACGTGGCGGGTTGGGGGGCGAGGTTCTTCACATGCTACCAGGGCTTGCCCACGTGGCTGGTTTGGGGGCGAGGTTCTTCACATGCTACCAGGGCTTGCCCACGTGGCTGGTTTGGGGGCGAGGTTCTTCACATGCTACCAGGGCTTGCCCACGTGGCTGGTGGTGGGCGAGGTTCTTCACATGCTACCAGGGCTTGCCCACGTGGCTGGTTTGGGGGGCGAGGTTCTTCACATGCTACCAGGGCTTGCCCACGTGGCTGGTTTGGGGGGCGAGGTTCTTCACATGCTACCAGGGCTTGCCCCACGTGGCTGGTTTGGGGGGCGAGGTTTCTTCACATGCTACCAGGGCTTGCCCACGTGGCTGGTTTGGGGGGCGAGGTTCTTCACATGCTACCAGGGCTTGCCCACGTGGCTGGTTGGTGGGCGAGGTTCTTCACATGCTACCAGGGCTTGCCCACGTGGCTGGTTTGGGGGCGAGGTTCTTCACATGCTACCAGGGCTTGCCCACGTGGCTGGTTTGGGGGGCGAGGTTCTTCACATGCTACCCGGGCTTGCCCACGTGGCTGGTTTGGGGGGGCAGAGGTTCTTCACATGCTACCAGGGCTTGCCCACGTGGCTGGTTGGTGGGCGAGGTTCTTCACATGCTACCAGGGCTTGCCCACGTGGCTGGTTTGGGGGGCGAGGTTCTTCACATGCTACCAGGGCTTGCCCACGTGGCTGGTTTGGGGGGCGAGGTTCTTCACATGCTACCAGGGCTTGCCACGTGGCTGGTTTGGGGGGCGAGGTTCTTCACATGCTACCAGGGCTTGCCCACGTGGCTGGTTTGGGGGGCGAGGTTCTTCACATGCTACCAGGGCTTGCCCACGTGGCTGGTTTGGGGGGCGAGGTTCTTCACATGCTACCAGGGCTTGCCCACGTGGCTGGTTTTGGGGGCGAGGTTCTTCACATGCTACCAGGGCTTGCCCACGTGGCTGGTTTGGGGGGCGAGGTTCTTCACATGCTACCAGGGCTTGCCCACGTGGCTGGTTTGGGGGCGAGGTTCTTCACATGCTACCAGGGCGTGCCCACGTGGGCTGGTTGGGGGGGCGAGGTTCTTCACGTGCTACCAGGGCTTGCCCACGTGGCTGGTGGTGGGCGAGGTTCTTCACATGCTACCAGGGCTTGCCCACGTGGCTGGTTTGGGGGCGAGGTTCTTCACATGCTACCAGGGCTTGCCCACGTGGCTGGTTGGGGGGCGAGGTTCTTCACATGCTACCAGGGCTTGCCCACGTGGCTGGTTTGGTGGGCGAGGTTCTTCACATGCTACCAGGGCTTGCCCACGTGGCTGGTTTGGGGGGCGAGGTTCTTCACATGCTACCAGGGCTTGCCCACGTGGCTGGTTTGGGGGGCGAGGTTCTTCACATGCTACCAGGGCTCGCCCACGTGGCTGGTTTGGGGGCTCACATGCTACCAGGGCTTGCCCACGTGGCTGGTTTGGGGGCGAGGTTCTTCACATGCTACCAGGTCTTGCCCACGTGGCTGGTTTGGGGGGCGAGGTTCTTCACATGCTACCAGGGCTTGCCCACGTGGCTGGTTTGGGGGGCGAGGTTCTTCACATGCTACCAGGGCTTGCCCACGTGGCTGGTTTGGGGGGCGAGGGTTCTTCACATGCTACCAGGGCTTGCCCACGTGGCTGGTTTGGGGGGCGAGGTTCTTCACATGCTACCAGGGCTTGCCACGTGGCTGGTTTGGGGGGCGAGGTTCTTCACATGCTACCAGGGCTTGCCCACGTGGCTGGTTTGGGGGCGAGGTTCTTCACATGCTACCAGGGCTTGCCCACGTGGCTGGTTTGGGGGCGAGGTTCTTCACATGCTACCAGGGCTTGCCCACGTGGCTGGTTTGGGGGCGAGGTTCTTCACATGCTACCAGGGCTTACCCACGTGGCTGGTTTGGGGGCGAGGTTCTTCACATGCTACCAGGGCTTGCCCACGTGGCTGGTTTGGGGGCGAGGTTCTTCACATGCTACCAGGGCTTGCCCACGTGGCTGGTTTGGGGGGCGAGGTTCTTCACCTGCTACCAGGGCTTGCCCACGTGGCTGGTTTGGGGGGCGAGGTTCTTCACATGCTACCAGGGCTTGCCCACGTGGCTGGTTTGGGGGGCGAGGTTCTT